AATGAGCCTTGACTGAGTAGTTGAAGAAGTCTTCTGGGAAGATGCCACACATCATGATAGGGATGGATGATCTTTGTGTCAAAGTTTCATTATCTCCAACACTTTCACATTGTTTTGGAGGTTGATAGGAGCTACTTTGCCCCATTTCCCATTGGTGAACTTGTGGAATAGATGGTTGCTGCCTGGAGAGGCATTCCTCGCAATCTTTATAGTAAGAAGCCTTGACCGAATAGCTGAATAATTTTCTGAGGAATGAGAGATCGCGCATGGTCGATCTTTGTGTCGAAATTTCCTCATCTTCAACACTTTCACATTGATTTGGAGGTTGGCAAAAGTTGCTTTGCCCTCTTTCCGATGGGTAAACTTGTGGAGAAGTCATATGCTTCTTGTGCAGTTCCTTCGGAGTGACATGAGTCCATCCTTCAACTTCACTTGGCTTAACTGGCATGGTTTTGGAGCATGCCCCCAGCGATTGAGGTGAAGATTTTGAGTTGACAAACCTGGAAGTGACGTCTTCTTCTAGGATTTCGTCTTCTTTGTCTTCTTGGGCCTCCTCTTAAGTGCAGTCCTCTTGGGTTTGTTGGTGTGAAGATTGGCCGGTGTAGGTGATGGTGCGCCTCCTTACCTTCAGTGGTCCTTTTGTGTCGACCTCCAAAGCTTTTTGGCGCTTCATCCTTGAAGGAATCAAGCTTTGAACATCGTCTTTTCCTGCTAGACTGTCGAGCTTTTCTTCCTTTGGCGTTGTCTTCCTGTTTCTAGAAGGCTTCTTAGTTTCTTCAAGTCTGTCCGCAGCCGACCGTTGCGGATGAGATCTAGCTGTGCCGCTTTGTTTCTTGGGTTTTGATAACCTTTTAAAGACAGATCTTTGCAATGTTGGCGTCTTAAGCCTTTTGAAGACTGAAGTTTGGTCTCGACCACTGATGCGATCAAGTGCTGAAATTCTAGGTTTTGAATGATTCAGCCTGTCGAAGACTGAAGTTCGAGAGGCGGGTTTAGGCTCCTCTTTTGGCCTTGTGGCTTGTGGTCTTGGCTTCCCCATTTTTTTATAGGTCGTCGATGTCCATCCATCCTTATCACCAGTAGATGCATCTTGGTTGCTTACCCCCGGTGATGGTTGTGTAGGAGGTGCCGTGTGACTTGAACATTGATGAGAATGGTCATGCATGCTTTGGAGATGCACAGGATCGAGTGATCCAAACACGATAGTAGTAGTGTGTGCTGCAACCGTGTCTTCGAGGTCAAGCTCGATTTTCCCTTGTTGTGCTAGCTTCAGGATGAGATCTTTCAATACGAAGCACTTTTCCATTGGATGACTAATGAAACGGTGGAATTTACAGTACCTTGGACTATCAGTACAATTCATCTCTTCCGGCCGTCTGCACCCAGGTAGGTCGATCACCTTTTTGTCAAGCAAGTCTTTCAACATGGCAACCACATCAGAGTCGGGGAATGGATAAGTCTTCTCATCGAGCTCATTCAAAGTACGTCTACACATCTCTTGATTACGAAAAGCTTCAGCTTGAATCGCCTTGCCTCGTGTAGAGATTTTGACGGGAGCTGTGTTGACCGTCATTGCTTCCTTGGTGGATTTTCACGCATCATTCTCCACCTTTGTCCCAAGAGCTTTGTCGTTCTTGTAGTCAGCGATCGGTTCTTTCTTCCCATGATGGGCGATGCTCAACTCTATGTCATGGGCGCGGGTGGCTAACTCATCAAATGTCCATGGTTTGATGCCTTGAAAGATGTAGTGTAATCCCCACTGCATGCCTTGAACACACATCTCGATCGAGGAGGTCTCCGAAAGTCTGTCTTTGCAGTCAAGACTTAGAGTGCGCCATCGGTTGATGTAGTCCACGACTGGCTCATCTTTCCATTGCTTCGTACTTGTCAGCTCCAACATGCTTACAGTGCGGCGGGTGCTTTAGAATCGATTAAGGAATTCTCTTTCCAATTGTTCCCAGTTGTTGATGGACTCAGGCTCTAGGTCCGTGTACCACTAAAAGGCGTTTCCTTTCAGCGAACACACAAACTGCTTGGCGAGGTAGTCTCCCTTCGTCCCCGCATTGTTGCAAGTTTCAACGAAATGTGCAACATGCTGCTTTGGGTTTCCTTTTCCATCAAACTGCATGAACTTTGGTGGTTGATAACCCCTTGGCATCTTTAGGGCATCAATCTTCTTGGAGTAGGGTTTCGAGTAGAACAAGGAGGTATATGAGCTCCCTTCGTACTGCGCCTTGATGGTGTTGATGATCATCTCTTGCAACTGCTGGATAGAAAGAGATCCCATGAGTGCTGCTGCTTGGTCTAGCTCCGGCTTCACATCGATTTTCTCCACCTGAGGTTTCTCTTCTTTGCCAGTTCCTCTCTTTAGTGGATCATCATCTGGGTCGGGGTTCTCGCCGTCTTGTGGCCCCAGTCGGCTGACGAGTTCAGTGATTTGCAAGTCTTTTTCTTCCACAGTCCGTGTTAACCTTGCGATCGCTTCATTCATTTGAGCCAGTTGTTCTTCAATAGAGGTAACGCCAACGGTCATGACTTGTGCAACCAATAGACGTGACTTTGCTTTAGACATCCAGGATGCTAACGAAGAACGTCGTTGGCTGCTTTGGGATGGCATCTTGTGTGCCTCAACATCATGCTTTGGTGCCCCCAGTAAGGTCAGGTTGATGATGGACTCGCGCCTTTGATGCTCCCCTTGCTCATTTAGCAGCACCAACTTTGAAGTGGCATGTTGAGGAGCGGTTGTGGCACCAATGGATTGTCTGTTCGCGGCAGAAGTGCTCAGGATCCTTCCCTTGGTGGTTGCGAGAACGGCTTGTCCCTTGCTTGATGTCATTGACTTTGAGGTGTGTTTAGATCCTTGAACGAAGAAAGAGATGAGAGGTAGAGATTGTCCCACTGGGCGTGCCAAATTTGTAAACACGAAATTTTCCTACGACAAACAAGACAAGAACACGTGTACAAAATAATATTTTGTATTTGATGATTTTGGGTTACAATCTCTCTCAAATTTGATCCTCTGATTCGATCTCCGTAAGGTGTGTATTTGTGGATGTGCGATTGATCCAAGGGCCGTCGAGGCTTAATCTTGGATGAACGGTTGAAAGTTTCTTCAAAGGCCGTTGAGGCTTGATCTTGAATGACGGTGATGAACGGATCTTCAAGGGCTTTTGAGGCTTGATCTTGATGAACAGTTGATTGATGGATCTTCAAGGGCTTTTGGGCTTGATCTTGAAGAACTGTTGATGAACGAATCTTCAAGGGCCTTTGGGGCTTGATCTTGATGAACAGTTGATGAATGGATCTTCAAGGGCTTTTGGGCTTTATCTTGAAGAACGATTGGATGTATGGATTTGTTGATGTTGTTGATCCAAAGGGCCGTTGGGGCTTGATCTTAGGATGAACGAATGATGAACGATGAACGCTTTCTTCAAGGGTCGTCGAGGCTTGATCTTGAATTGGTGGAAGTTCCTTTAAAGGGGCCGTTGGGGCTTGATCTTGAAGGTTGGGTTGACGAAGAACGAAGAGAGCTTTCTTGATCCTTCGGGATTTGCTTGGGAGCTTTAGAGTTTCAAAGCTTCATGGTGTGAGGTGAATGAGTTATGAATTGGTTATCAATTTTTTTTTTCCTAAAATGAATGAAATAGCTTCTATTTATAGAATTTTCCAAGACCTAATTTTGAATATAATATGCAGATGAAATAAATCGTTTCTGACAAGTGTTGACATGTGTCTTATTTGATGACTTTTCCGATTTATTTTGATTTTTCGTTTAGTCACACGCTACGTGTAAATTTATGTGACACGTGAGCGTTGAAATTGTAACTATCGGTCAACATTTATTTCACCGAAATTTCGATGTCTACAGAGATAATTAGATTTGTTGTGCGTTCTAGCAGAAGTTAGATAATGTAAGACAGCAAGTCTCGCAAGGACCGAACATATCAACATAATTTTCATTTTCTAATTTAGATATGGAAGTGGTAGCGAAACAATAACCTAAATCTCAATAGGACGCATTATATGTTTGAAAGTTCTAGAAAATAGGGCTGTTTGGTTTGGTATCCGCAAAAAATTGGGAGGTCAACAAAAGATTTCGCAGGGGTGGAAGTTAATGGGTTAGATTGCATATAACACGTATTAAACACGAGATTTAAGTGGTTCACTCATAATTAGACTACATCTACTTGTTGGGAGCTTGGACCCGTATCCCCCTTCTTCTGGCTGCCTTCTGTTTGTAAGCCAATTTTTAGACAACCCTTTGTGGGATGTGGCCTTTTGCTTGACCATCCTTCATTTGCGAGATTGAGCTCCCTTCCAAGTCTTCCTCAAGAAGACTTCTTTGTGTAGTGCTAAGCCATGGTGATATGGCCTCCTCCAAGCCACTAAATAAATATCTCACGTCTTAGCATAAATAACTCTCCATCTAACGGTGATAGAGCTATGAGTCAACAGATTCCCCATCTAACGGTGATCTAGTATTTCCTCATTCGTGATGCTCACAAGGTTGAAAAATCTTCCTCGATTTAGGGATTTTCATGTGCAAAAGCGACGGCAACAACAATATCTTTCTTGGATCCAATTGTTAGTTTTCAAAAATGATAAATGTACCTAAACTGCTTAATACTCATTAGTTTGAAACCAAAAAAAAAAAAAAAAGATTAGATCGAAGAAGATACCTAGGAAACCCTAAAACAGAGAAATTATGACCTCGTTGATCAAGTTACTTTGTTGAAAGACAAAATTAAACATGATTGAAACTACCCCAGTGAAAAGTTGATATCATCTCAATCCAAAAATAACTCCGCCAAAAGCAAATAACTCTAAAAACCCGTCTCCACTGGTGTTCGGACAGCTGCGGATCGATTTAGGGCTCGCGTTTTTGAGTTTACCGTGTTTGGGCCTCAACTCTTTGTTGTATTGGGCCTTTTTCACTGGCCCAAAATAAAAGGAAACCGAAAGTGAGCACGAAAACATTACAAAACCCTCCATTTTGACCAACGTCCCGACCATTTCGTCCGACTCCTCCTCCCTCTCTCTCTCTCTCTCTCTCTCTCTCTCTCTCTCCGTCTCCCGATTTGCTCAGAGATAATGGACGCCATCGACTCAGTGGTGGATCCGCTCCGAGAGTTCTCCAAGGACAGCATTCGCCTCGTCAAGCGCTGCCACAAGCCCGATCGCAAAGGTAATTCAGCATTCGGGTCGGATCTGTGTTTTCTCAGAAGTTATATTCTTTGATATGCATGTGTAATTGATGAGATTTGATGGTTGATTGTCGTGTAGAATTCTCCAAGGTCGCGCTCCGGACAGCGATCGGGTTCGTCGTGATGGGTTTCGTCGGGTTCTTCGTCAAGCTGATCTTCATCCCCATCAACAATATCATCGTCGGATCTGTTTAGGTATTTATTGGATCGAATCAAATCCATTGATTGAAAATTATTGATGGAAATTGTGGAGATTTGATTGGTTTGCTTGATCGATGTATGATTTGATTAGGTTGTTTATTAGTTGGAATTCGGATTAATTTGATTTTGGTAATTGTTGTTTGTTCAATTTTATAAACGAATCAAAAGTTTCGATGAGGAATGTAGTGGTTGAGTTGCATATGTATACACACACACAGACGCTTGGTTTTTCTTCTATGCCAATATAGTTGAAATGGTTCTTTAATGTTGAGATTTTTTATCAACTTATGTTTAGATATGTGCATTGCTCTTGGTTTTGAGTGTTTCATTCGGATTACGTTAATGGTTTGGAACGGATAGTCTGCATCGTGATAATTGGTAGAAATGGATGTGGTGAATCTAGTGATATGATCTAAATAGGGAGATCTTCTTGCGGCACATTGATTAGTTTGAGTTCTGGTTTTACTCTGTTGCTCTATTATTCTGCTTTATGTATCTTAGGAAATTGATACCGAATCAAGGACGGTTAACAGAATATTGATTCATAAAATTGGTCCAAAGATCTTGTATCTTGAATTTCTTCGTATGTAATAATATAAGATTACGGTGTCATTAGACTATGGATTCGAGACTGTAGACTAGCAAGTTGGTTATGTGTATTAGAAACGTATTTCTTATCTTTCGTTGTAGAATCGGATGTGGATTGGGGACTGATTTTTGTTTTCCCGTGTGGTTGCAGGTCATGCTGAAGATCAAGTTAGACAGATGAAAGGTGCAGCAAATCTAAAGAAAGCATTAGCTTTTAGTTCTCATTTGTTCCTTGTTTCTGTAAAACAATGATACGTGCACTCCCTAGTTTTCGACATTGGGACCTTGTCTCTTTCTCGTTTAATCGAATTTTTGTTGTTCTGGATTCGTTTACTTGCTTGATGATTTATCATTGTACTTTTTAACCAATAAAATGTCGGAGGGACGATAGTGGCTAACACGATGATGAAATGTTGAATGTGATGGGCTCGAGCGAAGGATTCAGTAGCTTGTTAGCCAGAGAGTTGGATTAGATTCGTAAGAGAAAAGAGGGGGGTTATGATGTTGCAGACGACAGCAACCTCCGTAGCCTCGTCGGCTGCTACTCGCGCCCCGTTGGCCGCCATCGAGTACCGGGTTACGACTCTTTCTCTTTCAATTTTGGACTCTCGTTGTAACCATAAAGAAAAATAGAGAGGCAAATTTAGATATGGTGCACCTCAAATTCACCATTGCCACCCCCACCCAAATTCTCTATTATTTCATACTCAAATTTTGGATATTTGATCCGTCTGTCATCTTCTGTTAGTGATTTATGTATAGAATCGAGGGTACTTTTGTGCTTTGGCCCCTAAAACTCGAGTATAATTTCACTTTTCGTAAGTGAAACTGCAAAACCAATAAACTCGAGTTTTAGGCCCACAGCAAAAAAATACGCAGAAACTCGAGATAATTCAGCAAATGACAAAAATCAACCATGTCTATGCTTCACGGGTGCAAGTTTTTTATCCCCACCACCAATCCCTCTTCCCCAAACTCGAGTCATTCACCTCACCAAAAAAAGTTGATTATCATACACAACACATAACTTTATATTAGGAATTTAAGACAGATGCTAAAAGTTATTCCAAGTTAATTAAGAGATGCCAAAACTTAACAGACACAACTTTAACGGGTTCAAGCAAATACTAGTACATAAACTAAAAATTTACACCTCTCAATTACACTCTTACGAATGAAAAACGGATGCTGCGCAGCCCACAACATCAATAACTCGACCTCCCATCGCCCTCCGTTATCACATCTTTGAAAGCACCGCCGCTCGGAATCATAGGCAGGACATGCTCTTGATGGGGCACTATTACATCCAACAAGTACGGACCAGGAGTGTCCAACATTTTCTGAATTGCTGCTTTCAGATCTTCCTTCTTCGTCACACGGGCAGCTGGTATCCCACAAGCATCTGCAAACTTGAGCATATTTGGGAATATCTCCGACTCATTTGCTGGGTTCCCCAAGTACGTATGAGCTCTGTTTGCCTTGTAGAAGCGATCCTCCCATTGCACAACCATACCCAAATGTTGGTTATTCAACAGCATTATCTTGACCGGAAGTTTCTCCACACTGATCGTTGCCAATTCCTGGACATTCATAAGGAAACTTCCATCACCATCAATGTCAACGACAACAGAATCCGGGTTTGCAACAGCAGCCCCGATAGCAGCAGGCAATCCGAAGCCCATAGCTCCTAATCCCCCTGATGTCAACCACTGCCGAGGCCGCTTGTACTTGTAAAACTGAGCTGCCCACATTTGATGCTGTCCAACACCAGTGCTTATAATCGCGTTCCCATCAGTTAACTCATCAAGAACCTGAATGGCATTCTGAGGAGAAATGGAGTCCCCAAAAGTCTTAAAACCCAATGGAAACTTCACTTTCTCCTCTTTCAGCTCCGCCCTCCAAGCCGAAAAATCAAGCTTAACCTTGCTCTCTTTCTGCTCCAATATCCTATTCAACCCTTCCAATGCCGATTTTACATCAGCACAAACCGACACATGAGGCTGCTTATTCTTTCCAATCTCCGCCGAGTCAATATCAATGTGAACAATCTTAGCCCGGCTAGCAAATGCCTCCAACTTCCCAGTAACCCGGTCATCAAACCTCACCCCAAATGCAAGCAACAGATCAGACTTATCCACAGCATAATTAGCATAAACAGTGCCATGCATTCCAAGCATTTGGAGTGACAATTCTTCGTCATTGCACGGGTATGCCCCGAGACCCATCAAAGTACTAGCCACGGGGATCCCGGTGAGCTCCACGAACCGCCTCAACTCCTCACTGGAGTTCAAACACCCTCCACCAACATACAAAACCGGTTTCTTGGACTCAGACACCAACCTCACAATCTGCTCCAAGTGACCCTCATTGGGGGACTTGGGCAACCTAGACATGTACCCGGGTAACTTAATGGGTTGATCCCAATTGGGAACCACAGCTGTTGTTGCACATCTTTGGGTATATCAATCAAAACCGGGCCAGGTCGACCCGACGTAGCTAAGAAAAATGCCTCCCTAACAACCCTAGGAATGTCCTCTACATCAAGAACAAGATAATTGTGCTTAGTGATTGACCTTGTTACCTCAACAATTGGGGTCTCCTGGAAGGCGTCAGTGCCTATCATTCTCCGGGGTACTTGGCCGGTGATTGCCACCACCGGTATGCTGTCCATGAGCGCGTCGGCGAGGCCGCTAACCAAGTTCGTTGCGCCGGGGCCGGAGGTTGCAATGCACACGCCGGGACGACCCGACGCGCGGGCGTAGCCTTCAGCCGCGAACACCCCGCCTTGCTCGTGGCGCGGGAGAACGTTACGGATGGAAGAGGAGCGCGTGAGGGCCTGGTGGATCTCCATGGATGCGCCGCCGGGGTAGGCAAAGACGTCGGTGACGCCTTGGCGCTCAAGTGCCTCAACGAGGACATCGGCGCCTTTTCTGGGCTCGTCAGGGGCAAATCGGGAGATAGGGGCCTCTAGGTCTAGAGGGTTGCTGGTGGTGGTGGTGATTGTGGTATCGGTTTTGGGGGATAGGGAGCTGGAGATCCGGAGGTGGCGGAGGGGAGAGGGTTTTTGGGGAAGAGGAGAGAAGGGGAGGTTGAATCTGGAAATGGGGTGGTGGGATTTGGCTGAGGAAGAGAAAGGGGAGGGTTTTGAGAAGGAGGAAGAGGAGGGTGGAGCAACGGCCGCCATTGTTGGAGACGCTGAGCTTGAGAGTGAAAGATAGTTTCAGTTGTGGCTGCTAGAGGAGGGAGACTCGTGGCCAAGGGATTCGTATCGTAGTTTCCTACTTATATTTTCATTCAAAAGGAATGTCTATTTACATTTTCGTCCCTTTGTTTGGTCCAATTTATAATACCATTTCTCTTCTGATAAGGAAAAAATGAATTACACGTCAATTTTATCATTTTATATTTTTTTTATTTATAGCCGTTAAATTGAATAAATCAAATATAATTAATAATTAAAATTAAATAATAAGGTATAACAAACTGAAAAGAGTATGTGAAAATCATTTTTTGGTTCTTGAACACTTTTATACTCAAATAGGCTCCTAATTTGTAAAAACATTAGGAGGTCGTGATTCATTTTTATCTTAAAGTAGTTACGTGTAAGTGTTGACATCTCAACACTGAATGGAGAAAAAGTGCTCAAAGTAGACTAGCGTCCAAGGATCTAGACAGGTTCCATTAAGTATACTAAACGATGCAGCACATATACAATAGCCTAAATTACCACATAATCCATTGACATAAGCACACGGTTTCGAGTTAGAAGGGGGAAGTTGTGAGTGCTCAAAGCAATATAGCATTTTGGTCTTTTTGTAAAATGCTGTAAAAAAGGAGAGAAATATAAAGAATTCTCAAAACATAATAAGACCATCTCCAATTGAATGGGCTATCTGTGACAACCCGTCCCAAATTTTACGTTTTTACAAAAATTAAAGTGTGATTTTACAAAAATGCCCTTAGAGGCGAGGGTTTTGACTTTCGTTGATCAACGTATAGCGAGGTGTATGAATTAATCCATTAGCGTTTTCTTGAAGTACTTTTGGTTTGGTCACTATTTATATATATTATTCTAAGGTATCTATTTTATTTATCATTTTAGTGATTTATAAAGAATGGGGAAAAGAGGAAAGAAGAAAGGGAAAACGGGAGAGGAGAAAGAATTGGGCAGAGCTGCCCAATCGGAACAGGAAAGAGGGAGGAGTTGGGCCAACCAGAAAGAAGAGAGAAGTGAGGGACCAATCAGAGGGAGTAGAAAGGAGGGAAAGGAGGGAGAGTGAAGAACGGGGAAAAGGGGAAAAACGGATACCCAACCCGTGACCCATGCAAACCCAGTCCATTTCTCCATATTTTCCGGTGGTTTCCACCGGATTTCCCACGAATTGGACCAAACCACTACTCCTAATCATCACCTAGTCATTTCCTCTTCCATTTCCATTCAAATTTGAAGGGGATTTGGGGTGGAATTTACACAATATCCCACGGAAGTGCCGTGAGACCTTGCTCGGGATCCACTAATTGTGAAACCATTCCCTTTGATTACCACCACTAAAACACTCCTCTAGAACCTAGGAACAAAGCCCAAATAGTGGTGGAGGCGTCAGAGTAAGTATGGAAGTCGAATTGGAGCACACCCAATTCTAGGGTTCCGACGGGTTTGAGCAAAATTGGAGCTTTTCCCAGCCAAAATGGCCTTGACCGCAGGTATAAAGTTTTCTCTGCTCTTTGAGATCTTCATTTTTGTAATTTTTGAGAATGTTTAGAAATAGTTGAATTTTCCGGTGAGCCGAGGTGGCCGACCGCCACCCACGGCGGCTGGTGAGACGGCGCATGGCCAGGGGGCCGTCGATGTTATTATTAGGCTAATTAGATGCCTTGAGTTCAATTTTGGTAGTTGTATGACATAGGTTGACTATTGGAATCTAAATACTCTATGTTACGTTAATAGGTCACTATGAATCGACGATCCAACCGTTGGATCATCACCAAACTTCAATATGTTATAGTACGTAATATTCGAGAACCATAGGAACTTATAGATCAGGAATTCGACATACGGATCTTCCTGAATTGGAATTGTAAGTTCGTAAAATAAACGTTAACCACCACTTTGTTTTGGCAATTGATGGAGATCCAACCGTTGGATCATAATGAAATTTTGGGGTGGTGTTTTAGAAGCATAACATATATCCTTAGAAGTTACTGATCGGAAATCTGAGGAGCGGATCTTCCGGATTGAATTATGTAGGGTTATGGACCCTACCGTCGATTGTTGACCAAGGATCAACTTGTGGCCAATGGGGCTTAAATCACTGTAAAACGTCTTTA